CTCTGCTCTTCCCTGGCTGGAATTCTTTCTGTGCCATAACCTTCTGTTCTTAAATATGTTGTCACAGAGGCGTTACTATTACTCCTGATTTGCTTGGCCTTGGCCAGTGGCAGAAAGTCCATCCTGGATCCGGCTGGCATTGGCTCCATGGGACAGGCAGAGATTCTAGCAGCTTCTTACAGAAGCCACCCCTGTAGCCCCCCCCGCTACCAAAACCCAGCCACAGAAACCCACTACATCATCCCAGTTAGTTCATTTAGTAATCTAGCATAGCACAGGAAGGACATGGACGTGTTAGAGCAGGTCCAGCCAGAGGAGGGTCACAAAGATGATCAGGGGGTTGGAGCACCTCTACTATGAGGAAAGGCTGAGAGCTGGCATTGTTCAGCCTGGGAAAGAGGTGGCTTTGGGAAGACCTCACTGCAGCCTTTCAATACTTAATAGAGGACTCGTGAGAAAGACAGGAACAAACTTTTTAGCGGGGACAAGGTGTGATAGGACAAGGTGTAATGATTTTAAACTAAAAGAGAGTTGGAAGGAAGAATAAGGAAGAAATTTTTTAGAACGTGGATGGTAGGACATTGGAACAGGTTGCCCAGAAAAGTTGTGGATGCCCCATCTCTCAAAACATTCAAGGTCAGATTGGACTGGGCTCTGAGCAACCAGGTCTAGTTGAAGATGTCCTTGCCTATGGTGAGGGCATTGGATGAGATAACCTTTAGATGTGCCTTCCACCTCAAACTATTCTATGATTCTAAAGGCATGGTGAAACATAGCTCACGGGGACTTGAGTTACAAAAACCTGTTGCTTTCACATATGCACCCTGTGTCATACAAACCCTCATTAGAGGAAATAGGACTGTTTGAGGGCACACTTTGGTTCTTAAAAGCACTGCAGTAGCCCTAGAATAATTAATATGTGCATTATGTGCATATGCATCCATTTGCTCTGTAAAGCAATTGAAAATTTGCTGAGAACCAAATGATGATTATGTTATATGGTTTTATTATAAAGTGAGGCAATGTGAGAGAGGAATCTTCAACTGATGAACTGTTTTAGCACCGAAGATGATACCAAATGCGAGAGGTCTGCTTCACTTTGCTTCTTTTTCTTGTACTTTAGGTTCTTATCCACTCTCTATACTTCCAGGTTGACTGAGATAGAAGGAGGCAAGACTGTGAGCTTTTTTGATGGCTGAAGCATATAGCTGTCAGAACTAATCATAGAATCTATGAAGATTGAGGAGTGTCTTACTCAGCTCTTAGGCCATCAGCTTGTAATCTTGGTGTTACAGCAAGAACTCCATCCTATGTTACTGTCTTCTGACAGTCCAGCTGTCAAGTTGTTGAACACTCTGGATTCCATAAATACCTTTGTGCAGTTGTATTAGAAGATTTTTTCTCAAACTAAGATTTTGACTATGGTGTGATTTGTTTGGGATTTTTTTAATGCTTGAAAATCAGATTCTGTGCTGCTTCTCTGTCTGAAGTAGTTGGTGTTTGTTTAGCACAAAGTCCTTCTTTGTGATTTCTGCTTGTCACCTCTCAGTATGGTGATAATTGTTTTTGCTTTTTGTTTTTAATCTTTATTCTTGCTTCATTACTTCTTTTTCATTTGTCAGAGATGCAACTTCCACTGTGAATCGCATGGAATCTTTGTTGCAGATAACTGAGATAATCACCTGCTATGAAGAATAGTCTTTTTGTTATCTTGCCTGAAGGACTGGATTAAAGATGTTTCAAGCTGCTGCACACCCTAGGATAGTTCATGAAGGAAAAAAATGGTCCTGAAGTTTCACCTTAATATGACCTTGATTTTTATCTAAACCAACTGACTAATCTGTCTATTTCTGACACAGGGAACTTAATAGTGTATGTATCTCTGCTTGGTTAAATTGAAATTGTTGCCTTATCCATTTTGTAGCTGTAGCCAGGCATTCTAAAAGATTAATGTTTTTCTTTAGTGCACTACTTAGTATTTTCATTCTAGAGTTTATAGTGGCTGATTTAGTGTATTCTAATCAGACTTTGGTTGTCACGCTGATTTCCTTCACCCCACGAAGATACTGATAGTTGATACAGATTTACAGTAACTGTTGTATTTAGTATCTGTGGTTGCTGCTGCTGCTGTTTTGTTGTGGCTTGCAAGGTTTTAAAACGTGGAAATTAAAGAAGTCCCTTGGCTTCTTTTCTCGCCAGGCATAATTTTAAATCATAGTAATAACTGATGGAAGATTGGATTTCTTGAAGATGTCTGTGTACCTATTACTGCATGACAGCTCCGTAAAACAATCAGAGTTTGACGTACTATAGTGGTGTAAGAGTTGATGTGAAGATTTCACTTTTGATTCAGAGACCATGTCAAGCAAACTTGAGACTGATAAAGAGTTCAAGTGATAACTTCTTTCTTTAGGTCAATCTCTACCATATCTTTACTGATTATATCTTTGAAACTTTTTAAACATTTACAAAATTACTTGATTTGACTTGCCAAATAACAATCCTAATACAGCTCACAAATAAGTTCTGTGGTTGGGAAAAGTTTGTCCGTGCATACAGTCTTTAGTATTTTATTTAAAATAATAAACTCTTTCTTCCCTCCTTCTCTGTTCTCCCAGAAAAGTTTCTGGCCCTTGAAATGCAGTACTGTGCAAGTGAAATAAGTTTTAATTTTTACATTATTTAGAAGGTGGTGAGTATTTAAAACAGTAGGTAAAGTTGTAGAATTGTTTCAAATATGTATTCATTGGATGGCTTCATGGTTTATAAACTTACTGAATTCCAAAGACTATACTTGTTTATATATCAATGCATTCATAGTTATGGAGCATTATAACTGATTCTTCTTTAGGAGAACTGAAATATGAACATTAAAAAAAAGATTAAAAATTATGTGATGGCAGTGGTTTTAGCACTCAAAATCAGTTTATAAAAACGAATTTTAGTTTCTGATCAGCCAAACAAACTCCTCACTTCTGAAAAGTGGTATTTCTATGCTAACTAGCACAGACCACATATATAAAGTGTCCAGTGTCTGTCGGTCAGTGCGGTGTACTGAGAGTCTTGGTGTTGTGATGCAGTAACTTTAGTTTGAAAGTACTTTAAATTTGAAAGTTGTATCTCTTATTTTGCTTATCCTTATTTCTGTTAGAATATTAATAGTTTTGAAGGGCTGGAATAGATCCATGTGTAAACTAATTCTTGGCACAAAAGAAGTTTCCTTATTTCACCCAAATCAGCACTTTATACAAAAAAGTCAAACAGGTGATTAAAATGCTGATTAAAAGTAGCTTCCAGTGCTGATAAGGGTTGCTGTAAACTGTGAATTTAAATTTTCTTATACTGTAAACTAACACTTTCTATATAGAACATTCAGATTTCTCTTTCAGCATATTTCAGAACTAATACCAAGTTACTCGTGCCCTTGGTTGAAGAAACAAACATGAATCTGCTCCACTATAAATGAAAAATCTAAGCTACTCTTCTCCAATTCTTCCACTTGGCCCAGTAACTTAGAGAAAGTTCAGTGAAAAGAACTGAAACTGTTGCCTGAACTTAAATTCTTACTCAGTTCAGGTCAATTCTAGCTGCATTTTTCTTATGGTTCACACTGTGTAACACTTACCTGTTAACACTGTTTAAAGATTTTTTTTCCTTCTCTCTCTAATTATTAATTTAATAGATTCAATAGAATAGCTAATTTCTGAAGGAATTACTGTACTTAATTTTCTAAAAAGATTGAGCATTTTATTTCTGTGGGATTAGAGGGTAGCGGTTTTACTACATAGTCCCTACATCATTTCTGTATCTTACTATGGTGAAAGCAGGTTTGTCATCAGTTCCTTACAGTATCAGTGTTGCAGCAAGCTAGTCAGTATAATCAAAATGTCTGTCTTCTGCTAACTAATGTCTTTAATGAGTCTTCTATATCCTGTGACTTCAGATATATTTCTTGCCTATATGTCTATTCAAAACTTTTTCTTAAAATGTAGAGTTAGTAACACTGATATTCTGATATTGAATAAATAGGAAAAGTGTATCACAGAATATGCTGAGTGGGAAAGGACCCACGAGGATCATCAAGTCCAAGTACTGGACCTGCACAGGACACCCCAAGAATCACACCATTTGCCCAAGTTCAAATGCTTCTCGAACTCTGTCAGGTTTAGTGCTGTGACCACTTCCCTGGGGAACCTGTTCCAGCACCCAACCACCCTCTGGGGGAAGAACCTTTTTCTAATATCCAATCTAAACCTCTCCTGACATGACTTCAGGCCATTCCCTCTGGTCTTGTCACTGGTCACCACAGAGGAGAGATCAGTGCCTGCCCTTCCTCTTCCCCTCATGAGGAAGTTGTAGGCTGTGATGAGTTCTCCCCTCAATCTCCTCCAGGCTGAACAGACCAAGTGCCCTCAACCGCTCCTCATACAGCTTCCCCTCAAGGCCCTTCACCATTCTTGTTGCCCTCCTTTGGACACTCCCAATAGCTTTACATATTACTCATGCTGTGGTGCCCCAAAACTGCACACGATATTCAAGGTGAGGCCGCCCCAGTGCAGAGCAGAGCAGGACAATCCCCTCCCTTGACTGACTGGCTATGCTTTGCCTGATGCCCCCCAGGACACAGTTGGCCCTCCTGGCTGCCAGGGCACTGCTGACTCATATTCAACTTGCCATCAACCAGGACCCCCGGGTCCCGTTCTGTGGTACTGCTTTCAAGCGTCTCATTCCCCAGTCTATACATACATCTAGGGTTGCCCCATCCCAGGTGCAGAATCCAGCACTTTCCCATGTTGAACTTCATATGGTTGGTGATTGCCCAGCCCTCTGATTTGTGTACTCTGAACCTGAAAACGTTTGCTGGGTGTAGCTGCAAGGAGAGATAAGGGAATGAAGATTAATATCTTTATATAAGCTTTAATCTTTTTGCATTGTTCTGGAAATCTGCTTTATTCCTGTGAGCTGATTGAAGGTTGACTGTTGTTGACTTTCTGTTGCAGATGAGCCAACACGTTCCTTGAGTGGTCTTATCTTGAAGAATAACGTAAAAGCACATTTTCACAACTTTCCAAATGGGGTAACTGACTTCATTAAAAGTGAATGTCTGAACAACATTGGTGATTCCTCCCCCTTAATTAGAGCTACTGTAGGTAAGTTTGCTCTTATTACTGCATTCTTCATACTGAAAATGTTACTGATATGGGTGAGAGCTGCACTAGTGACATAAACAGTTATTAAACTCCTAAAAGTGTTTGCTTCTGATAATTGTCAGATTTTAATGAGACATTTCACCATATTTTAGTATTTTTCTTTACTGAGAATATAAAAAGTCACACTTTTGATTCTTATTATCTTAGAATTGATACAGCAATTCAGTTCATATTTCGTGAAATGTAACTGAATGTAAGTTTCTTTGAATCTACTAAAATTGAGCTTGCTGCCAGCTTCTCAACCTAAAAATGGGAATAAGGTAAAGGTCTGACTTAACTATTTCATTACTCTGGTTACATCAAGGAAACACTTCCTTTAGTTATTTCCTGCACCCCACTGCCCTTATGCACACAAATGCACATCCCTTCAGGGAATCATCGTACTATGCATAAGGCATTCACATAAGGAGGTTCTGTTCTTAAATACCTTCTGTCAGAAAATACTAGATAAAGTGTGGTGTACATGGAATCATAAAATGGTTAAGAGACCTTAGAGATCATCTAGTGCCAGTGAGAAGTTTCTTTTTTGTTACACAATTTTCTGATTTTGTAAGTACTTTGTTTTGGTATACATATTTCATAAATTGTGTATATTTGTATTATTTTAACTTATTTCAAGGTAAAGTTGGTTTTCTGTCTGCTCTTTGAGAATATGATTTTCTCCAGTATTGTAGTAATTTTCCTTTTCTGCTCAAAAACTAGAAAAACATAAAATATATATTTGAATACTCTCGAGAAAATGGGTATGGATGTCACTTCAGAAAGAAACTCAGCTTGTATCGGCTGACTCCTTATAAAATAATCTACCAGTTACTGTTCCTTTAGAACCCTTTGCTTTTTCTATAGGATTCCTTCTAGAGAAAAATACTCACTTCTTAGCTTTTTCCTGCTGTCTTGTCACTTATGAAGCTGCTTTACAATGAATTTTATTAATGGTCCATATTTATTAATGTTCCATAATGTTCCATATTAGTGTTCCATGTCTTTGAGTGGCAGGTACATTTGGATTTCAGGTTGTAGAAGAGTCACTCTTACTTGTTTGTTCATAGGAGTTTTCAGTGGAGTACAGTGGAGCTGACTAAAGAAAATATTCTAGTTCCACTTGGATTGCTGTCTTAGGTTTGTTTGGTGACGATCTGTGGGGTAATTTTTTGAGGGAGGCAGGGATCGTTTGTTTTCAAGCAGTTACTGTTTAGTTTCTCCTGGTACAAAGTGTTTGTGGATTAGTAGCTCAGTTATTGTTCAGCTTTAACTGATCCTTGCAGGGATTTTTCAGCATATATGAACTCTGAAGATGGTAGCAACTGATGAACTATATGCTTGCATAAGCTGTTTAGCATGTGCGTTGTGCTCTCTGAATTGTTGGATCTCTGGAGCTATCTCTCTCAGTAATGATGTTGGTCTGGTACCTGCTCATTTCTTGGTACTAATAATAATAATAATAATAATGGCCAGTCTTCGCGAGCGAAGATTTTGGGAAAGGTCATTAACCCTTCCAGCCTGCGCAGTGGATTTTTAGGTGAGACACAGCGTGCGCTGAACTGAGCCCACCCTTTAGTCCTGAGGTTCATCTGCCGGGGCCGAGCAAAGCTTGGACAGTGGCAGTGAGGTCCCCAGGATGTAGGTTTGTTTAGAGTGACCTTCTCTTAGGTGGATTGCCTACCAAGGCTGACGAGCTCCACCTGCCCAGGGGGCCGGGAATCGAACCCGGGTCGCAGAGGTGAGAGTCAGGCACTCTAGCTGTAAATATATTACTACCTACCTAGACTGCCTTCTTAGCATGAGTTGGCATGTGCAAGTTAGAGCTGCCCTTTTTGATGAGTATTGGCTTTTGCAGTTTAAGCACTATCAATTTAATGAGCCAATTGCAAATAAGATCTCAGGCATTCTAAGAGCAAGATGAGTAAGTACATCAAAATAAAGAATCAAAGAAGATTTAATGCAGGATTCGCTCTGTGGTCTCCAGCATCTAGTACTAGCCAGATGAAAGCTGATACCTTTTGGCCAAGACAGAGGCAAGCTGATTAATCCTGTCCTTCAAAGTCACTTTGCTGAGGAGAACGAGCATGGTAATAGAGTTGATTTTAGAACTGTGACTTAGAGACCAAATGATAACTGCACATTATTGCATCCTTACTTAGCTTATCCTTATTTTAATCCCCAAAGGAGTAACAGAGTGTAACTTCTCTGTACTGTGTGGTACAGGTTTTAAAACCCTGTGTGCTGATCTTGAAATATGGATTCAAGTTCAAGCTGCATTTATGAGAACGCACAAATTTACCAGGATATAATTGCATCTCTTTTGGAAGTACCTGCAACTGTTCTTAAAACTTGCTAAGGATTCTAGTCTAAGGCATGACCTTAGTGGTAGCTCCACTTAAACACAAGCAGGAAAAATAGTTTGAGCATTTAAGACTAGTAGTAGGACTGGAGAGCTTCACTGCAGGAGGAAATTGAAAGCTAATGATTGCCCTATGAGGGGAAATTTTGTTATGAAATTCAGCTTTTAAGAGTTAAGGAGTTCAGAAATCAACTTTAGGAGCTACAGGGGCTCCAAGAACCACACTCAAAACCCCAGCCTTCCCCCTGTCCTATTATTGGCATAAAAGTAATGAAGCATAGCTGCTTTTTCTTTGTGTTAAATTTTTCATTGTAGAATTGATCCTGTAAACTGAGGTTACATGTAATTGAAACAGTGACATAAAAGATGTTGTCAAAACAAGTAAGCTTATGTTTTTAACAATTTCTGACATCCCTCTGGAGTTAGTTCTCTTGTGTATTTACTGCTTAATTAGCCCAGTTGCTATATTAGTTAGATTTCATATTTGTCAAGTGAAATATCAAAAGATTCCGTAATACTGTTTTGAAGTTAATTACAAATCAAAGACCATCTTTATAAAGACTTTCAGTTTCAGCTTGCTAACCGTGTTGCTTAGCATGCTGGTCAGAAGGAAGGGCCTTGTCTAGACCAAACCTGTCAAAAAGCTTCAGGCTACTAAACTGATTTATTTCTTTACTTTGATTATTCTCTGATGTCCATATTTCTGTACCTGAAGTGTTGCATGCTGGTCAGAAGGAAGGGCCTTGTCTAGACCAAACCTGTCAAAAAGCTTCAGGCTACTAAACTGATTTATTTCTTTACTTTGATTATTCTCTGATGTCCATATTTCTGTACCATGAAAGTGTTGGTCTTTTCTCTGGTGTGTCTGTTCCCTGCTGGCCAAATGAAGCAGAAGGTGTGTAGGGAAAATTTCGCTTTTGGAAAATGATGCTTATTGGAAATCGATGAAGATTCTTTTTAGCATGAACATAAGTCCCTGAAACTTAGTTTTATGTGGCTGCTTCCTGATTGTTCTTAAAACCTTTTGCAAACTGTCAAATGCTATAACAGTTGCCTCTCTAAGTTCCTGGTAGTCCAATATTACTCTCTTTTTTTCTTTGTCTCTACCAAAGTGTCTCTTTAACATTTCAAAAGCACTACCACAGTGTTAAATGGCTTTCCCACAGATCTGTATGGAAAGTTTGTAATGGCATGTATGATCTGAACTGCATACATCTCTGTTGCAAGGGCCAGTGGCCTCAAGTCACTTCTTGCCTATGCATCTGGAAGTATTTCCTCCTAGTTTGTCCTGTTGCTGTCTGGAATAGGCCTTTTGGAAAAACACTGGAAGTAGGTTTTGAATTCAATAGTTTCCTTCAGCTGTGAAAGCTTGGACATACTACAAATGTAGCCAGACCATTTATCATCTTCTGAAAACGCTTCTAGACCTTGAAAAGATCTTCAGCCAACTCTTTTCCTAAAACTACCTATCCCTTTGAGGCTTGTAATGATTTCTGTCACATGTTAGTCCAGAGGAGGTCCAGGAATTTCATTCTTACGTTTGTTTCTGAACTTGTATTAAATGTACAAACAAACTTGTGCCAGATCTAAGTTAAAGAGACAAATTTGCAAATTAAGTGCTTTGACTAGGAGGCAAGAAAGTTAATTTATTTTGTTATTTTTATAAAAGAAAAAGAAGTGGTTAAGATCTAGCATCACTAAGATAAGTATTTTCTATTAATGCATCTGGTGTTCTTTACAGGATGATAATATTCAGGAAAAATGTAGTTTTTTAAGACTCCATAGATCTCCATAGGCTTTTGGGAATCTTTTCTATTCAGTTGCAGTTATGAAGAGAACTGTATACAAACTACTTCTGGAGCTGTAAAACTGTATTTGGCTTCTGTCTTAATTTTTGCGCTTTGTCTGTGTGAGTTCTCCAACCTGTTGCATCAAAGGAAACATGATGCAAAATATTGTTTAGTTGCTGTGTGTCCTGTCCAGAATGTCCTTTGCTCTGTGATGTTGTCCTGTATTCTTGTGTATTTAACAAGAATTTTAACATTTTATTCCAAAGAAAAATGATACGTTGTGATTAGCTCAATGAAAAAAGCTTAGGAAGCTTTTTCTATCACTTTTCACTTGAGAGATTACTGGCTGTAGTAGTATCAAGTTCTTCTATGTTCATACTCCTTAGCAGTAACTTCCAGTAGCAGAATGGATTATGCTACCTGTTTCATTTTGCGTTGAGGCAAAATGAACTCATACAAACTCAGTCCTAGTTTTATAAGCTGCCTTCCCTGTTCTTGTCACCTAATTAGTTTTTCCTGGGATTTCTGGAAGCAGAATTAGTGACTCTCTGGGCTGACCTGTCTGTTTGCTGGATCTCACAGCCCATAACTGGATGACTTGCCTGTGTTTAAGCTCTTTTTAGGTATCTTGGTCTTAGAATCTGTCCTTAATATTCTATGTAAACACAGTAGAGTTGCGAACACATAATTTAGCACTCGGTTGTAAGTTTATTTGACAGATTGGCACATTGATGCTTTTGTATCATCACAAACAAGAGGTGACTTGAAGTGGATACTCTATATTGAAGGTCCAGACTTGCACAGTGTTTAGTAAATTTAGAGCCAAAGTTGCCCTGCCATGTTTTTAATTATTATTTTATATACATATATATGTGTATAAATGTTGTAAATTATTATTTCCTTAAGTGAAATTACTTTGTGCTTGATTTCTAATGTCTGAGCCCTTCATGGTAGCAGGAAGGAACAACCCACCTTTGCTTTTCAAAGCCCTTCAAGTAACATGTGCAATTAAATGTGCTTCCTTTTTTTATGCATGCCAGTTTTTAACAAAACAAGAAATCTCTTAAGTCCTACAATATCTGAGAGGAGAAAAATAAGAAAAATTGATATGAACAATGTGGAAGTATGTGAGATCTCATTTCCTTCATTATTCTGTTTCCTTTAGGCATTCTGATAACAACCATTGCCTCAAAAGGGGAATTACAGAATTGGCCAGAACTCTTGCCAAAGCTTTGCAGCCTGTTGGATTCTGAAGATTACAATACCTGTGAGGTAAGGAGATTTATAGAAAATTAAAGAGTATCATCTGAATTTGATTATTTTTATCTCTCTTCACGGAGACTTTGTATAGGTATAGTATTGTGTGCATTTCTGTGTGTCTTTATACATGTCCATGTGTTCTCCTTGGGGAATAGTGGCTCAGTTTGATACTTTCTTCTCTACCTGCAGTCCATGTTCTTACTGTTCATTCAAATGAATTTAGGTTTTTTGCATAAAAGCAGAATAAGATTTGCATAAAAGCAAATAAGATAGTTGGTGTATCTCAGCTGAGAAGTGTCCTGAAGTTACTACTCTTTTAGGCATTATCAGTGTCATTAAGTTGACCCTGAATTTTCTCTTACATAAAAGTAGAGTTCATTCTTATTGTACCTTAATCTGGAAAAGTGTTCTGTGATTGCTTGCCATTTGAATTACTTGATACTGTCTCCATGGAAGTGTATGAAACATTTTGTATAAAGTGATCCTCAGAGATGACTGATGGTCCAAGACACCATGCTGTTATGTAGTGTTTTAGTGGTGCTTTCTCTCAGAAAAAGAAAAAAATGCTTGAAAATGGAACTCAAATTGAGTGTCATCTCTGTTTTGCCCCATAACAAATCATGAAAGGAAATACATTTATATATCTAATTAAATTGGATACTCCTGCCCCATTCTATTTATTTATCAAATAAGATCTAGCTTTTAAACATTTTTTAAAATATGATTGAATAGATGAGCACTGAACACTAAAACTAAAATTACAACTTCTCCATTACTGACTCACACAGCTTGAGAGCTGGCAGATGCTGGTTTAAATAAAATGCCTTTAAGGATATTTCAGTTTAATCCATATTAAGTTAGCTGCATTTACAGTGTTAACTAGCTACATATACTGTGTTGTGCTGAAATTACCTATTGTATACAAAGTCTGAAATTTGGTGTTCTTCAGAATGTGAAAGAATATATTTATTTATTTGTTTGTTTACTTACTTATTTATTTTTAAACAGGGTGCTTTTGGCGCTCTTCAGAAAATATGTGAAGATTCTGCTGAAATTTTAGATAGTGATGTGTTGGATCGGCCACTCAATATCATGATACCTAAGTTCTTGCAGTTTTTCAAGCACAGCAGTCCAAAAATACGGTAGGTTTATATATTGTGCTTACAGTTACCTGTAGACTTTATGTTTAAATTTTATTTACATGAGCAGCAAGGCTGCTATTTTGTAGAGCTGTTTAAAATCTACTTTGTTTTTTTTAAATAACCCTGCAGAGATCGACAAAGATTCCATGCATCAGTAATTTCCATGTTTGTCTGCTTGGTTAATGCAACAATCTCCCCTCTCAATAATTTTGAAAATCAAATTGTTTCCTTAAAGTTTTTGCATATTATTATGAAAAATTCAATGCTGGGGTTTGCACTTCATATTCTGATTAGAAATAATAATTTTGCATTCCTTTTGTAATGGCTTCAGCAATAGGAGAGTAAAAATTCTTTTGCTGACAGAAGTTTCTGAGCTTTGGTGAAAAAAGTTCTGCTTTTAACTGAACTTTCACCTGAATCAAATTGAATGGGCTCATCATCTTTTCACTGTAAAACTATATTAAATCTCTCTAAAATAACAGCATGGAAGAAAAATTCCAGAATTAAATTGTTATTTCTAATATTCATTACAAAGAACAGTAGCGAGAGTGCCTCTGCTGCAAAAAAAGCTAACGGCATCCTGGGCTTGAGTGTTGCCATCTCGTTAAGGAAGGTGATCCTTCCCTTCATCTTCCAGATGAGGCCACACCTGAAGTACTGTGTCCAGTTCTGGACAGTTCAGTGTGAAAGAGACATGGATATACTGGAAAGAGTTCAACAGAGGTCTGAGGAAAGGCTGAAAGAGCTGAGACTCATCAATGTGTGTAAATACCTGAAGAGAGGGAGGAAGAAAAGACATGTCCGGGCTCTTTCCAGTGGTGCCCAGTGACAGAACCAGAGGCAGTGGCCACAAACAGAAACTCAGAAGGTTCCCTCCGAACATCAAACCCACCTTTTTACTGTGAGAATGATCAAACCCTGGCACAGGTTGCCCAGAGAGGTGATAGAGTCTCTATCCTTGGACATATTCAATAGCCAGCTGAACATGGTCCTGGGCAACTGGCTGTAGGTGGTCCTGCTTGAGCAGGGGGGTTGGACCAGATGATTTCCAGAGATGCATTCCAGCCTCAACCATTCTGTGATTCTTAGTGATTCTGTGAAATGTGTTTTTAACTCCTGTTTGAAAATTACATTGAAAAATTTGGCAACTTGGAGGTGGCAATTCTTTATTGCCAAGAGTGGTAGATAGTGAAGACTTAAGAGGAAGACTATAACTTAGAATGTATCATGCTACGATTCTGATAGGGTTGAGAAATTTACCTATAAAAGATGCACACTGAGAATAATATGTAATAAAGTGTGAACTTGGTCTTGTGGAAAGATAAAACTTAGTAAATTTCACAGAATATTCTGAGTTGTAAGGGACTCACAAGAATCATCAAGTCCTGCTCTTACATGATTGGCCCATACAAGGATCAAACCCATGACCTTGGTGTTCTTAACATCATGCTCTAACCAACTGAGCTAATCTCATAATCTCCTTTCTGGAACTGGGAGAGATGGAGAAAACATGGTTCTTTCCTTACGACATTATACAGTGTCTCACTTCTTTCTTATGCTGCAAGGTTCCTGGCTTTGAGACTGTTAAACCAGTTTCAAATTTAAAGCAGGCTACCTGCTGACCCATAGCCTAGTTTGAGTACATAGTGCTGTGGTATGAAAAGGACTAGTAGTGTCAGTACAATAATACCTTATATTTAAATCTATTGAAAGACAACTTTTGAACAATGTTTTATGAGACAGTCTTCCAAGAAATGTCTGAACAGAATAAAAGTTTAGAGTTACACTAGTAAAAATACTGTAATGAATCTTCAAAGGGCGTTAGAGGTAGTTTTGCCTTGTGCCTCTGCTTTGAGAATTTGACTTTTGTGCCTGAGAATGAAAAAGACATGTAAGTAATGGCTTTACCTGAAATGGAATAGAATAACAATGCTTTGTTTTTTAGAATATTTCTACCATGAGTATGTATCCTACTACGAGTGTGGGTTTGTTCTAAGCTATAGTTACATTGTTGACGCATATTAGTCTCACTAAATTCTAAAAATATTGCAAAGGAAGTTGCATACTTAGCAGCGAAGAAGGTCTTGCTTAAATTTCACCATGTTGACTTGTGTGGAATTATTAATATCTGAGAAGATTACAATCATAATATAACCAAAAAGAACATCATTACATACTGTTCAGAACAAATGTGCCAGCCATAGTCATCCTGCCCTGTTTTCTTTTTACTGAATAGTTTATTTTAAAATATTTATTAGGTATTTCAGAGTATAAGACAGTATTTAAAATGTGGTTTAGTATTTTGCTTGGTTAGACTATAGATATGTAGATTTATTCTCTCTTGCCCTTAGAAGGGATTTGTTTAATGTTTTTGCTGCCTATGTACGGTTTAAAAATGTTTTTAATTCATGCAAATATGTATTTTAACTGTTCCATTTGTAGGTCTCATGCTGTGGCTTGCGTCAATCAATTTATCATCAGCAGAACTCAAGCTCTTATGTTGCACATAGATTCTTTTATCGAGGTGGGTGTGTATTCTTGGTTGGAGTTAAGTCAAGTGACTATCTGATTTATCAGGAGTTTTGAACTGTGTTTTACAACCACCTCTGCCCCTAAACTCCCCATTTTTGGTTGCCCATTCTTAGTTTCAGTCCCCATGGATTGAAGTTCATTCTGTATGCTTGTGCTCAGAGGTAACCACTCAGTAAGCCCAAAAAATAGACTTATTTTGAAAGATGTTTCATTTTCATAAATAGGGTAAGCTCTTGCTGTGTAAAGGTGGAAAAATAATGACAACAGTCTGTCTCTTACCTGTCCTGGAAAGTGCATGTCACTGGGCCTGTTTGTCTGTCTGAATACTGCTACTAAACAAGGATGAGAAGGATTCTGAGTTATCTAGACTATTTGATTTGCTACTCTTATGTACTGACTCAATTCTTTGTTTACTGATAGAATTTACATTTAGAAGAAAAAAAATAATTCAGGAAGTACTGTTCTTGTGCTGTTGTTAATACTACACAGTGTCATGGTTATGTGTAAAATATGTTGGGAGTGTGAAGAGTTAATTTGAGTTAATACATCTTTAAGAAATGAAATAGTATTCTGAGGTGTGGGGTAGGCGAGTACAGAAGTACATATTTGCATACTTTAGTTTGCCAGCAGTGTCAATTTTAATAGAAATTGAACTTGATGAATAGAGGCTTTTCAACTGTTATGGTTTCCTAACAGAATCTTTTTGCACTGGCTGGTGATGAGGAGCCTGAAGTACGCAAAAATGTTTGCCGTGCTCTGGTAATGTTGCTGGAAGTTCGGATGGATCGCCTTCTTCCTCATATGATTAGTATAGTTGAGGTGAGTTTAATTTTCTAGATTGCCTGCAGATTCCCCTGTTTGGTATTGCAGAAGTATTAACAAATAAAACCATTTATCAGAACAACTATGTTACTCTTCCTTCAAGACTGAGATTGCAAAAATTTCTTTTTATCTAATTGCCAACTTGACACTGTGTTTGACAGGCAGTGCATATGGCAGTTGTTTATTCTTCTTTAAAATAATTATCCTAGAATGACTGGGATCAAAGTCAAGGCATTGCTTGACCCTAAATGAGAAGATTGTGTTAAAAATCTAGCACTGGTGCTGGTACTGCCCCAGTTTACATGTTGAAGCTGTCACTTTTTTGGATGTGTAACATAACAAGGATAAGGCATGTTACTTTATATAGCTGAGGTGCTCTTTGAGCTACTAATGAATAAGTTCTAACTTAGATATTTATTTTTATATTGTGTAGTACATGCTTCAAAGGACCCAGGACCAAGATGAAAATGTGGCTTTGGAGGCTTGTGAGTTTTGGCTGACTTTGGCTGAACAGCCAATTTGTAAAGATGTATTATGTCGGCATCTTACTAAGTAAGTATTAAGAATTACAACTCATTAAACTTAAAACTTCAGTTGACTTGTTCCTGGGTACTCTTTTATAGAGACTGTATCTAGCTTGCAGTATATTTAGACGGATTTTCCTATAGCTAGTTCTTGTGCATAGTATAATTGAAAAGACTTCTGAAGATTTCAGACCCTGTGAACTCCAGAAACAACTTAACTGTGTCACTGTAGTGCTTTACCTCAAATTTAATAAGCTGTTAAGCTTCCCATGGATGCAAAGATATGCTAACATGCTCAAATAAACATCTGCACATGACATTACTTGTAATACCTTGTGTACCATGAACGTGTTGTCTTGACTACTGCTGATGTGGGCATCTCTGTGCAATGCTTCTATGTGCATAGTTGTGTAAAAAGTTCCTCGTTTTAAAAAGAGCATAAGACAACATGACATGACTTGGATTTAGGAATCAATTTTATATCAATTACTATTGCAATTTAAACTTGAAGAAATGTAGAATTTGTTCCTTCATATTTCTGCAGCCTGATAGTAGTTTAAGTTTCAAATATTAGTTTTTCTAACTTTCAAAAAGTTATCCTATGCCTCAAAATATAGAACGTTGATTGAATGGGAGTGAATATCCATGTGTGAAGTGTAAACACCTGCATGTCTGCAACGGTGCTTGTAACTTTCTCCAAACTAATCTGAAGTCTTTTACAACAGGAAATTAATTCTTCAGTGTTGCCAGCAAATGAATACTCTTTCTTTTCATGTATGCACAGAACATCTTTGAAATTAGTAAAGACTCTCAAGATTTTGAATGGAAGAACAGAATGACAGACTGAAGGGGACACATTCTTTTCAGCAAAAATAAGGACTGTAGATGTGAAGTAAATAAAAAAAAAAGGAAGGCAAATTCCAGTTTCTATAAGCAATGAAAGCAGAAAACTGATTAGAACACAGCACTGTAGCAGAGAAGGAATAGAATTAAAAACAGGAGAACCAATGTTATGAGAAATGATTTTTAAGTTTTAAAATGGTCTTACTTAGTTTCTAGTTTTGTAGTTCAAAAAGCAAAAGAATGATAGCACCGTTCTTGAGTCCACCTGTTCCCTTCCCAACACACATTATGTAGTTAATGACTGCAGTATAGAACTGTATAATTATACAATATATAATATATGTAACACTAAGAGTTAATAACTATTAGTATTAAACCTCTTTTGGCTACATGAACATTGACACTGCAACACCATCATACTGAATTTTTTAAAAAAACTTTAAAAAAAGCTTTAGAAGCTTTTTCTAGACAAACAATTTAATAAGAATAATATTACATTTTTTTCCCATGATCTTTTAATGCCAGGTGTGTTGAAGGCAGGTTTTTTTTGGTGAGTTCTCTTTGCATAGGAGCTATATAAGTTTGTCAATACTTGATGATAATCTTAAAATTTCGTACACTAAATTAAAAGTGGGACAAGATTTTCTTAAAACATGTTCATGTGATATCTAACATCTTGTTCCATTTTATGCTTGTAGCCTTTCTTATAAAACGGATACTTCACAAAGTATGCTGCAGAAAAGCCAGTGAATTAGTGATAATGTCTATACTTGCTATTCCTTCATTCAAAGTTTAGAACGTAATGTGCCAGTGCAATGTGTGAATATTAGTGCAAGCCTTGCACCTTCAAAAACAATCATCCTCAGCTGCAGAATATAGCAAGATTGAGTCTGTCACTGTTGCTGGGTCATCCACTGTCATTAGCTTCTTTTGGCTTGTAATACATATTTTTATGGATTTTTTTTTTGTTGTGATGAATGTGTTTCTATGTGAAATATTTTACTTTTTTCCCTTAGTACTTTTTTAGCTATACATCTGTATGGTTGGAGTCCCATAACCAGTTTAATAATGAAATAAAACCTAATACAGATTAGTCAAGATTTCTGCAATGTTGGGGTCTTGTTTTACTGAAGTAGTCACAAAGTGATAGGACTTAGTGTAGTTAGGCTTCCATATTTAAGAGTAATGAGGTAGAGTCTTCATCCACAAGTAAATGAAGTGACAAGTAGTATTGAGATAAGTCAAGAGTCACCTTATCGTGTATATTATAGGAGTTGGAATTCTTACTGAAAACCTATAGATGTAATTTCTGAAAGGTGCTTCAGAGTAAATTCATCAGTTGTGCCAGCTGGCTACTTCTGTTTAAAAGTTTGTAATTTAAAATTAACACTTTTTCTCATTACAAAGTATTGCATAATTTTATGACATGGAGCTTGGTTCAGGTACTAGCCTTTGTTCAGGTACTAGCTAAGGTTTTTCTTTTGGTTGGGAGGTGAGGGTTACAACCAAAATTATGGTCTGTATAGCTGAAAACTGGCTTGCTTTTTTTTGTGTTATTTTAACATGCATAAATATTTCTTTGTAGGCTGATACCTGTGCTGGTAAATGGTATGAAATATTCAGAGATTGATATTATTCTGTTGAAGGTGAGTATCAGTTTCATTTACTCTAGAGGAATAGCTGGTTAGCTTCTGACTTATAAAGCAGAATGATTCAGATCAGAATGGGTAGATCTGGCCTACCATCTGTTCAATGGAAAATTAGCTTTCTGGGGCAAGGTATGCTGTTCCAAATACTAAATACAACTGCTGCTATGTTTGTTGGAAAATAATCTGTGGCTCACCTGCTTTGCCCCAGTCCCCGCTTACCCAATTTAGGCAGAGCTGGGATACTATTACCATGAACTACTTCAAGAATGCAGCCTAAAAAAATGTTGAGAATTAGTGCTAATGGCTTCCAGATTGAATACATGGCTTTTTTCATGACTGTGTTTCAGAATATGTCTGTGTACCAGAATTTCTCTATTATTTCTTTCTATTTCATTCCCATTGAGTAATTTTGTAACAAGAAGGATACTTTGTGGGTGAGAGTATCTCTCTTGCTTGTATCTTCTGTCCTCTTTCTGGTAAATTCCTCTGGAGAACATAGGAGCATTGGCATTTTGATAGTTGGGCAGCTCAAGTGGGATGTGAATCTTATATACTTACAAAGTCTTGGACTAAAACTACATTGTTAACTTCCTTGAGCAATATGGTTGGACTAGTTTATCTGATAAAGCAATTTGATGACAGGGGGATGTTGAAGAAGATGAAGCTATTCCAGACAGTGAGCAGGACATAAGGCCTCGTTTTCATCGTTCAAAGACGGTGGCTCAGCAACATGAAGAGGATGGTATTGAAGATGATGACGATGATGATGATGAACTTGATGATGATGATACTATTTCTGACTGGAATTTAAGTATGTCAAAGTAATGTGTAAAATATTTTGAAATAGATCAAGTTGCATAATACAGGAACCACAGTAAGAGAAGTTTGTGTGTAGGAATACTGAGTCTTTGTTTTTGAATACAGAAAGAACTATCTGCTGACATAATTGGTCGATGTGTTGGAGGGGGAGTCTTTCAAATGACACTTTGAATTTGTAGCTGCATTGGCAAAAGCTATCCATCTGAAAGCTTATTTTTTAACTTCAATATGGCAGGTTGAGCTAAAAATATTTAGCTGATGCAATTCAATAGAACTTCTGGACTTAGAATTTTAATTCTATGAGATAATAAAAATCATGTATCACCTGTTTAACATCAGTTAAACGTTGATCAGTGGAGCAAGCTTAATAATGCTTTCTTTAATTTCAGTCTTCTCTCTAATATTGATTTGTGTTTTGTTTTGGGTTTGTTTTTAATTCCCTATGTGACCATGCTACTACCTATGGCCATTACTGGTAGTTCTTTATCATGAGAGGAATTTGCTTCTGACCAGAATACAGTACCGTAGTTATGAAGAGAGGAGATAGCTGTGAGGAAACCAGAATTCTGGTGGCTTCTGTGTGTCATAGGACCTTTCAGCTAAGAGGCCATGTTGTAAGGAAAGAAAATGCCACAAAATGGTTTTTAAGTTGTGAAATTTTGACAAATCTGATTTGAATATGTTTTGGAAACGACCTCACTGTGGAATAATGATCTGAGATTTGGACATAGCCACATTTTTTTTTTCCCAAGGCCACAAGTTTTCACAACAGGTGAACATACCTTCAGGATTATGATTAAACAATTTAGAAATGTATCTGGAGAATTATTATTGTTGTTGTTGTTGAAAATATGAGTGCAAATATGCTTGTTTCTGTAAAGCCGCTTTTTGGGGAAAAAAATAGTTTTAGGTTCCTAGTGCTGTTCTTGTCACTGCTGTAAATAGAGATTGCAGAATTAAATACATATTTTCTGAAGAAGATAGCTCAAATAAATAAGGTGCCCTGTGATGCACAGTTTTGATTAAGATGGTTAGAAGGCTGAAGTTGTTCTGAAATAGTGGCTTGGAAGAGAAATAGCAGAGCAGTTTAGAAATCTGTGATGAGAAATGTTATCTGGATTTCAGAAAATTTTTGTTATCTAAAAATCAGGATTGTGTGCCCTATTTCTTATCCGGTGTTCTATATCTGACTTCCCATTTGAACAGAGAGGAAGCATCAGCACAGCTTGACAATAAGAAGCATTGCTTACTGATGAGACCAGTGTGATCCACTGAGAGAGATTAAGAAGGAACTGATATTATAGTAATAATGACTTTCAAAGATCTGTGGCTTTGCACCAGAGCACGGTGGATCACTGTGTTGTAATGAAATGGAAGTATCTTTCTTCCTAATGCACTGAGAATCCACTGGCAGCTCAAAATAAGGATTATATTGCCTAACTACAGTTATTTGTATAATAATCAGAGATTAACACTGTTAATTCCCTTCAGGGAAATGTTCTGCTGCTGCTTTAGATGTCCTAGCCAATGTATTTCGTGATGAACTTCTGCCACACATCTTGCCCCTGTTGAAGGAATTGCTCTTCCACCCTGAGTGGGTAGTTAAAGAATCTGGTATCCTTGTTCTTGGTGCAATTGCTGAAGGTAAGGCAACAGTGCATATCAGGTTACTGATTTTTTAATTGGTTCTAAAGCAGCTCAGATGAATTTACTTATGCAAACAAGTATATGTTCTTAGCTGGTTTAGTTTCAGTGATTAATCTCAAGATCTACTAGTAGATGACTGCAGTTATTTAATTGTTAATTTTCAAATTTATGCATGTTTGGGAGGCTAAATTGATTACATAATTTCTTTTATTTCTCCCTGTCTTAACTCTGCAGCATACAATTGCTGATCACTCACGAAATACTACCTTGATTTCGTAGAAGATATTTTTTTAGAAATGTTTTTCAGAAATGGAGAGGACTGCTCCTGTGACTTCAGTACCCTAAGCTGCCTTTTGTGGATGGTTCCCCAATTAAAATAGGAGAACTTCCATTCCTTTTTACTTACTTACAGTCTTGTTTGGCTTTTTGCCTGAAGTTTCAGCATCTCTGTCAGCATCTTTCACAGGCCGAAGAAGTACATTTGGGTCCATGCCTGGATTATATTTCTTTTCCCACGGTGTCTGATGAACCTACTTTTTTTGTTGTTACTAGAAAACTTTTTACTTGGTTTTGATTTTAAGTCAAGCAAGTGAAAGTTAGTATTTCTAGCAAATCTCAGTGTATTACTGCCCTTGCTTACTTGAATGGTGTAGCTTTTATTGGTGGTCAGTATTTGTATGATAGTAGGAAAAAACAAGAGGAAATTTAAATTTCTTAAGGATTCCTTTTTAATGTGATGATTTCTTGTCAAGCCATAGTCTCTATTTGTTTTCTTGCTTACTCTGAGTAGACTGATGTAGAACCTTCAAGCTTTAGAAACTCATTTTATTTGAATGTACTTGCTATACTACATTTAATAAAGCAGAATTTCTGGAGACTGAGTAGAATTGTAATAGAAAGCACTGAACTAAAATTGTAATAGAAATGAATATAAGTTTAATTGGACGTTTTAATTATTGTTTATGTAAGGTTTCTTTTTAGGACTTTATATAAATTAGGTAGACTTGCTTTGTATATTGTGAAAATATCAGTTAACTTTGCATATTGTGCATAGAGCGAAAGTATGTCTCTTAAAGGAAACAGAAAACCATAGAACTTTTTGTTAATTCTGGTGCTGCAATAGCTGTATTTTTCCTTCTAGGCTGCATGCAGGGTATGATTCCATATCTTCCAGAGCTAATCCCTCACCTTATTCAGTGCCTCTCTGACAAAAAGGCTCTTGTGCGCTCCATTACATGCTGGACTCTTAGTCGCTATGCACACTGGGTAGTTAGTCAACCCCCAGACACATACTTGAAGCCATTAATGACTGAGTTGCTAAAGCGTATCTTGGATAGCAACAAGAGAGTACAAGAAGCTGCCTGCAGGTAAGCCAAAGCTTAAGCAAAAATAACTATCCATGACAGAGCTTTTTCTTCCATGGGAAGCTATTTTTCATGCCCTTATCAATGAATGCATGACTCCATTTCTAGCTCTTAATGTATTTCTTTCTCTTAAAATGGGGTAGAGGCAGCTGCTTCTGAAGTAGTCACAACTTTCTCCCAAGTTGTAATAACCTGAAAAAAGTTAACTTGTATTTCTCTTATCCACTTTGTTTTCAGAGTATATGAACCACCAACCTAAATAATTTATTGTAGTAAATTTGCTGTTTGTGATGCTTCTTTGTTTTCAATATATGATGTTTCATTTATAAGATATTTGGCTTTTTTTAATATGCCTATGAACAGACTGTGGTGGAAAACTATCCTGTGGTTGGAGTACTGGTACTGTTTGTACTTAGCTCAGTATTATGGAAATATTTGAGTTATGATTATTTCAAAGGTTATTAACTTTCTCTCAAAGAGAGATCCTGGGAGATAAGATTGCATTCTTCCCCTTGTCTATTTATATTAAAAAAAAGAATTAATGGCTTCATTAGTGCACATAACATTAATGAAATGGGAATGGGTGCATCCCTTGTGCAGGTAGCTCATCAAATAAAATTTGTACATGTCAGTTTTTGTGAGACCAGAGTGTACACAGCAAACCTTTAAGAAGGTTTCTTCATAAAGCAGAGTTAGATCCTCATCTGAACAGATTCTTAACACTTGAAACATGTAATAATGATAGTAATGCTAAAAATGATGATGATGATAGCATCAACCCCCAAATATCAGTAGTGCCTAAGGACAGCGCTGAGTTCAGTTCTTGTGCTAAGCTTTGCACAAAAGGGGTGAATGTATCCTTGCCCGAGAACAGATACAATGAATTTATTAAATGTATTTAATAAGATTTGAGTATTAAACAGTGTTTCCTTTTTGTCTCCAAACCTTTTCAAGCCTTGGGCTAGCAAATTTGGGGACCTTTACTGTCTGTTCTATTAATTCTATTTAACAACAAAAACCAAAACAACCCCCCAAAACAAAAAACAAAAAAACAAAACAGCAAAACAAAGACAAAGCAACAAAACAACCAGCCAACCAACAAAAAGAAATCCCCAAGGAAAAGTACCCTACATCTGTTCAAACTTTCCTTGTCCAAAACATAGTTGAAAATCTGCATTTAGTTGAACACTGTGTTCAACTAGCTGTGTTGTATTTGTTAAATAACCTCATGTGATGCTTATGAAGGATGTAAAAGGGGACATGGAAACAAAGTAATAAGAAATATAGAATAGAAATATTAAAAATAACAGTACATCTGATTTTTTTTTAATTAAAAGTTTGATATCAGACTTAGAGCCTGTTTTGAGATACTTTCTTTAGAGCACGAATTCATTAAAATTACTGTTTCAGCTAAAAATAAAGTGCCTGAGAAACTTCACTGTAAGGAAGATGTAGAGCCATTACAAGTCAAAACATTTACTAGCTTTCTAAATTGTGACAAAATAAAACTAATGTTCTTGGACAGCAACAAAAAGCTGCATCTCAATAGTGACTAGTTGCATAGATTGTTAATGTCTACCAAATTGAAGACTGGTCATAGGAGAATGTATGTTTTTGTCACTAACTTCTGTGTGGTAGCAGATGTCTAATGTTCATTTCTGTATTATGGAGAAACTGCTCCTTTTGTTGATGACACCCAAAATGATACTCACTGAAAAATGTTTTCTTGCCCATGTTGTATGCCTTTCCAAAAGGATACACTTCATAATAATATAATAAAATAATAAATAAAGAAAAAATGGTAGCCGCTGAGTTTTGACAGTTCCATTGTGTTAAGAAAAAGGCATTTCTGTATTTGGCAGCATGCAAGTAGGGGATCGTTCACCTCATGCAGTGATGCATGCATTTTAGTACAGGGACAGACTAATAATAATCTTGTTGACATAAGCTAGGCCAATAAATCTTCAATAGGTCGTTTCTTTTCCTTTGCTTATTGTTTCTCTGAAGCAGCATCTCTAGTTTGTGCAGATTTTTTTTGTTTTGTTTTGAGTGTGTTTTCTTAATGCTGCTGTTCAAACAGCAAGCTGCAAAGTTTCCATGATGCCATGATGTGTGCTTTGACAAAGGCTGGCTAAAACAGTTCATCCTATGTATTTGCTTTTAGTTTCACATCTTTCTGTATCTGTTTTTCTACATAGTAACTGCTGTGAGTACAGGCTGATGTTTGTATTGTACTGGCATAACAGCACCAGGGTCCCTAGGTGCAGCTACAGTGTACATAAAGATAGTTTCAATTTTTAACTTAACTGCTTTTGTTATGGTTCCTTCTACTTAACAGGTAGTATATATTGTAACTTGAGTCCTAATGCTTTTTTTTTTGGTGGAGGACCTCCTGTCTATACATAAAGGATTTTATGGCAGTATTTTAAAATTTTGTTCATTACAGTGTAAGAACTGAATCCTTATGGGTGCTTTTGTGTTCAATCAAAAAAGATCAAGGTTATCTAAGTAATATATATTTGAAAACATATCTTGGATGAATTTGAAGACTGAATACAGTTTTATGTTTCAACAGAAATAAATGAAGTAGGGCATTTTGAGGTCGTCTTGTTTGATTTTTTTCAAGATACTAACTGACCTGTTTTATTGTCCCTCAGTGCCTTTGCTACTCTAGAAGAGGAGGCTTGTACAGAGCTTGTTCCTTATCTTGCATATATACTTGACACTTTGGTCTTCGCATTTAGTAAATACCAGCATAAAAACCTGCTCATTCTTTATGATGCTATAGGAACTCTAGCGGATTCTGTAGGACATCATCTAAATAAACCAGTGAGTATACCTTATGTTCTGTAGAAGCAGTCATCATAATTGAAAAACTTGTTCAGTGTTATTTGTAGGGTGCTTTGCATGTTATAAACCAGAAATGCTGATATTTCTTTGTAGGTCTCAATAATACTAAATATTTACAGATAAAATACATAGACTGCACATAATTTTCCCACTACACAAATATTTGCCATTTTGAGTAAACAAATGATAGTGTGTGAAATGTGCTTCTCATCATGATTTTCTCCTCATGTTCAGAATTTTTCAGCTCAGAGGAGATACACATATCAATATAGATCACACTTTTTTTTTTTGGTAACTGCTTTATAGCTAAGATGCTCTGTATATGTCTCTTGCCAGTGAATTGGAGCACATCATCACTAGAAATTGCTATTTCAGAGTGAGAAAGGCTTTTTTTTTAATATAAAAACACAGAATCCTATGGTCAAAGCACAGATAACAGAAAGACAGATGTAATAGGGGGTTTTTTTAGTGTACATATATTAATTAGTTGAAGATATATACCTGTCACATGTTTGCATCTTATGATGGTTGTTGAAACTTGTTTTATTTCTCTGTAGTGCTTCAAATGACATAGACACGCCAGATAAAAACAATTTTAGTTGTTTCTATGTCATTTTACTTGCTATCTGAGACCCCACACCATCAAAGACCTGTTTTTCTGTGTCTCTCTGAGCCTGGCCACCTTGACATTTGACAGTACCAGGAGGAAGCTAAATGGCAGCTCCTGAGGACGATCTGAATTTCATTAGTCAGTTCGAATTTTATATTTTTGGGCATAGCGATATGTGTTGGCTCTTCATATACCTTCTGGGAGCAACAGCACTATAGAGATGCCTTGCTCAATGTCCTTGTGACTGTGGCTGCGCAATGGCAGGGAAGCCAGCTTTATGCAGAAGGGGTAAGTGCCTCCTTCTGGAGGCATAGGAAATTACTTTCTTCAGGGATGGTTAGTTGCTTGAGGAAGAAGTTTCAGAACTTGGGGGAATAGCGTTGTAGCATCAGGGCAGTGCAAGATGGCTGAGAAAAGCTGGTGGCAGATGCAGAGCCAGAATGTTTTCTTAGGCCCTGAGGCAGTCACTTAAAGTTCAGTAATCCAGGTAGCTATACTGAAACCAAACCTGCAGGAAGGGATTTTCCAAAGGTATTTATATGCTTTAGCAAAAAATATCAAGGCATAAATTGTAAATCCTAATATAAAAATACTTCTATGAATTTCAACAATGATTGAAACACAGTACATCAGAGTTTTTTTTTCTCTGAAGAAGTAGAATGTATTTCAGTTCCTACCTAACTTGAAATAAAATAGTATGCAGTTAAGTATTTTAGCAGCTCATGCATTTTCATCCCAAACAGGAGTATATTCAGATGCTAATGCCTCCATTAATCCAGAAGTGGAACATGTTGAAGGATGAAGATAAAGATCTCTTCCCTTTATTAGAGGTAAATGTTAAAAATTGGATATTTTTAGTCAACTTATTTAGGAATTATACTTTCTACTAAAGAGGTTCCTACTAGGAAATATGACTATAAAATCTGACAGTGTTAGCTATTTCCCATTATGAATAAAATATTCTGACTATAGTAAGAAAGTTTTATGACTGAGGAACTGTCCTTAGGTTTAGCAGAAATCTTTTAGATTTTTTTTTGCTATTCTGGAGTATTTTCTTTGATAGGATTATTTTAGGGAAAAAAATGTTTTATCCTGCTTTTATTCTTGTCTTCTCTCTCCTTGCTCTCACTTCATCCCTCCATTAAAACTATTGTCAGAGAAGCTGAAGGTATGAACCAGACCATGTAGTCTTATTCTCTGTACTTTCTGACTGTGATGCAGGAAAGAACCTCTAGAAAATTAGTTTTGTAACTCTTAGGTAATATTAGGGCTTGTTCATGGTCAAGATACTGCAGCTTAGTGTAAGTGCTGTCTGAAATTATCATAACTGGTTTTGTATGCATTTTCTTGGCTACCTCTAAGAAGATGCTGCTGCTGAGAAATTTTCTCAACTCTTGTGTACAGGAGTGAGTAACAACTTGCTGATAGTTGCCTTGCCTCAGCTAACCAGTACTGCCTTTCTGGGCTGTGTTTACTTAATCAGTTACATATTGGTGTAATTAAAATCCTAATATCTTTTAAGTTACCTTTCCCGAGTAAAAGGCACTTCAGGAATGTGAGGAAAGGTAGTGACTGTTTTCTGTTTCTTCTTTTTTTTAATTCCAGTGCCTGTCGTCAGTTGCTACTGCCTTGCAATCTGGCTTTCTTCCATACTGTGAACCTGTGTACCAGCGTTGTGTAAATCTGGTGCAGAAGACACTTGCACAAGCCATGGTATTTTTCTATGACTATTCAATGTTACTTTGCTAAACCAATGTATTAACTGTGTAAAATTACAGGTTTGCAGAGAGATTCAATATCTAAATGAATGTGCAGTTTGGAAACCTTTTTTTATGCATACCCCTGAGAAAATCTAATATAATTTGAAAATGTGTACTTATTTGTTGCAGTTACATAATGCTCAGCCAGACCAATACGAGGCTCCAGATAAAGATTTCATGATTGTGGCTCTTGATTTACTCAGTGGTTTAGCTGAAGGACTTGGAGGCAACATTGAACAGCTAGTGGCTCGCAGCAATATCCTGACACTAATGTACCAATGCATGCAGGTGAGATGAGTCATCTACTTGATCTAAAGATTTTCTTTATTTGGAGAATCAGAAACTCTTCTAGAATTGTAATTTTTTTCTTTCTCTCTTCAGGACAAAATGCCTGAGGTACGGCAGAGTTCTTTTGCATTGTTGGGGGATCTGACAAAGGCCTGTTTTCAGCATGTTAAACCTTGCATCGGTACGTTTCTTTTAGTATTAAACAACTTCTTTTACAAATTCCTAAGATGTTAGTTTAGCCATTGTTAAGCTCCCTGCCTGTTCTGTGGGTTGCCTTTTCATGGTATTGGACATTGTAATTTTCCTTTATCAACAATGGTATGTGGTCTTTTGTCCTTTGAATTGTACATTTAGAAGACATGGTCCTATTTTTTTAGACAGTGCAAAAATTCTTCTTTGTCCTTTATTTTTAAAGCTTTTTTTGTTCTACTAGACTCTATTATTATGGAAAATTATATATAATATATAAATCAAAAAACTTGGCTAGAGGATAGGTTTTCCTTTGGTTCTTTGCATTGTTTTCATTTCAGTAGGGAAGTAGCATCAGTTATACACTTCCATGATATTTGCTCTTTCTTCCCACAGATATAGTTAAGATACACTTGCCAAATGAATGCTTGAATAGGTTTGGAATTTAAAGTTTATTTGGTAGATGTTATCATTACCTTTGTGACTCATTTTTTCTTAAAATTTAATCAAAGATGTGATTGCCTTCTAGTCTTCATTGTTTTATCAACCATGGCTGAATACACAGCTATCCAGATGATTTGAAGTTGTTCAACCATATTATAAAACCACAAATACTTGTAGCTGTGATTTTTTTCTTCTGTTCCCCTCTCTCCCCCCACCTAAGCAAGGGAAGGAGGGGAAAAGGATTTCTAGAGTTACAAAAAGATAAAGCCTTTTAGAAAGATTTTAAAAGCATAATTTGAAAAGATTTGCATTGAACTGCTTAGGTTCTAAATTCCAGGTTAATCTGATATATAGCAGAAATATAGCTCTTGTTAATTCACAAGTAACACTTTCCAAGCATTTAAATAGGCTTACATTGTCTTTTTCTTAAACCCCTTTCCCCCCCCACCTTGATCTGACACTAATGGGACAAGATGGTTGTATTGTGTGATGAGATTTTAAAATGTTGTTCTTTCTAGCTGATTTCATGCCAATTTTGGGAACCAACCTAAACCCTGAATTCATTTCTGTCTGTAACAATGCCACCTGGGCAATTGGAGAAATCTCTATCCAGATGGGTAAGATTTAATTTTTTCTTTAGTCTGTGCACATTTAGCATGTGTCTGGGCATTTTGGGGTGGGGTTTTTTTAGTGATTATTTCATGTTAAAATCGAAATTACATTTGAGATCCTTGTCCTTGTTAGTAAGTTCAGGGTATGCATTCTGTTTAGATTACTGATATTAATGGTTGTTTTCTTCTGAATCTTTTTTCATTGTTGTTTCAGGTATAGAGATGCAGCCTTATATTCCAATGGTGTTGCATCAGCTTGTAGAAATAATTAACAGACCCAACACACCAAAGACGTTGTTAGAGAACACAGGTACCCAAAAAATTAACTGTACATGGTGAAGGAAATTAGAGATTTTTTTTAATAATCGTTTTTAAAATTGCATAGGGGAACCACACCAGAACTGACTTTTTTGCTATGTATTTGGCTTTTATAAGCAAAAGCAACTCTGTTTTGCAGAAGCTCTTACAAGTCTCAGTCTTGCAGCATATCATATATCTAGATTCTAAAAGTCATTGGTTTTTCCTTTTATAACATTTTTTATATCTATTTATAGTCTGTGTAATTATTCTTCCACTTTTATTTACTTATTAAGTATGACAAATGTATGCAGTAACCCCTAAAGACTTATTTCTCACTGATTTTGATATACACATGTCCTTACATGTGTACTGTATATATATGTCTAGTGTTGGAAACAAATTTCATTGGCATATATAAAACAAATAATGAACTCTTTGAATTTACAAAAAATGCAGTCTTTTATTTTAAGATAAAATTGTAATATCATACACAAAAATCTAGATCTATGATGGCAGTTTTACCACAATGTAACTGAAATTATATTATATTTAATTTCTATTACCTGGTCACTTAATAACAAATTTCTGAAAAGAATAATGGCATGCATATTTTATGTTCTGGTGCACAGCTTTGAATTCCAAATTGGGAGCAATCCCCAAATACCTTACTGAATCGAAATCTCTGAGGCTTGTTTCTTTTGCATTTATAGAGGGCATGTTCTGGTATAACAAGCACCTTCCATACTCTAGGAAAAATTTATTAATAATGTGATGGGTTTACAATTTACTATTTTACTAATTAGGAATTTTATTTTTTCATCTTACAGTTTGAAAACTGTAAGAAAATAATAGTTTAGTTATTATATCTGACATGATTGAAAATGATGCAAATACAATGGTACAGTTATATTTTTTGAGCAAAGCAAGAGATAATTTGGAGAGAGATTTTTCCTTGCATATTTTTCCTCCAGTATTCTCTAAACTTACAAGCTGCACTTTCTCTGCTCCTTAACCCCCATTTAGTATGGAAGGTGAAGTTGAAGGAAAAATTACCTAGTTGTATGACATATTATAGGTACTACTTTTTGAAAATGTAGTTTTGGAGTAAATACCTACTTGTTGTGAAATATACCATGGAATAGTATAAAAATATAAATTTTCCTTACCCCTGCCCCTGCCCTGACTTCCTTCCTCTGCACTGATGGATGTGTAATACCTGTAACTGAGAAGCATCCAATACTTAAATGTTTGCTTCCATCATTGCTAAGAGAATTTTTGGAAGCATCCAAACACTTAACTTTCTTTTATTTATTTATTTATTTATTTATTATTCTCTTAATAGTTCCTTTAAATGTGGATGGATAACTGCAAATAAATGTTGAGTGTGGTGTACTTATTATACGTTTGTTGTGGGATATTTTACTGTGTGCCACTAATATGTGCAAGAAAATTACTGGCTTTGCTGTAGCTTGCTATGTAATTAATTATGAAAACAATTATGAGAACACACTTTGATAGAGATTACTATTCCTTGTACAGGCTGTAGCTGTAAGAATTTACAGATAAAATTGTATTTTCATTTGAGCTGCAAGTGTAGTTTTATAAGATAGCAAAAAAATTTTAGACACTGCATACGGAAATTGAGTAACATTTGGGCAAAGCAGTATATTAACAGGGAGCTGCAGCTTTCATGGAATTAATATGTTTCAGACTAGTATATCCTACACCAAACTTTTATTGGAGAAAGCATCATCTGCTTTATTGCATGTTTCATGAAACTGTTCACAAATGCCTGTTAATTAGAGTGTTGCATAGTATGTCCCTTGAACATAGGTTTCCTTTCTCTGCTTCATACAAATCTGCTGGATTTTAGTATTATTCATGTATTTTGCTTCCAGTAATCCTGATACATTATTCCCCACCCTCTCCTTTTTCTAAAGATTAATCTTCCGTGAGTTGAGCAAACACCATTAAAACACATTTGCATGATGATATTTTCTTTGGTCTGTCCCTCGGAACAATGAACCAAACTGTCTAATCATGTGATGAAACAATTTTGCTTTTCATGTGTCCTTATGCTTTGGTATCAGAAGTCAGATTCTTATACATATATGAGGAAACCTTTTGTGAACAGAAGAAATACTGAGATTAAAGAATTCATTTTCTGCAGTCAGTTGCTGTGAATTAGCAACCATTTTTAATTAAATTCTCTATGAGATTATGAAGAAGATAAATATTTTGTGCTCTTTGAGAAGTGCTTCATCTGTTTAGAATTTTCTGACAGATCACAATATTTTCCATGTAAAAGTATTTATGCATGTATTTTTACTGATAGATGGGATCTATTAAAACCTTGAATTCAAAACCTGGGAAAAAAATAAAATGTTTAGAACACTTGATACTAAAACTGAAAATGGTTGATTTCTTTTTATCAAAAATAGCTGTAATAGTATATTTGAATAAAAACTTTCAAATGTATGGTAGGTAAATTTACTGCAAAAGATTACTCTGAAGAGGGCAGAACGACTGCTTACATCAGAAGGCCTTTGGATTTAAAATTGTGTTTTTGGTGTTCTCTCATTTACTCCTTTAATTTTTCTTTTACCCTGGAGAGTATACCATATATGTTGCTGCCTCTTATTTAGGGGGTGGTAATAAACAAGCACTGGTGAAATCTTATGTTTATTATCATACACAGATTCTGTTGGTTTCTGTTTCTGAGTTATTTGTTGTTTTTTCTTTATTTTTTCTCCTCCCCCCTCATTTGCTCATGTCTTGGTTGGCGTTTGGTGGTGTATAACCGTGATTGCGTTACCTTAGCAATAACAATTGGTCGTCTTGGTTACGTTTGTCCTCAAGAGGTGGCCCCCATGCTACAGCAGTTTATAAGACCCTGGTGTGTATTATTCAATCTTTTTTTTTTTAATTCATTTTTCTTCACTCTCTTTCTTTCTTTCCTTCTTCTCTCTATCTCACTTTTAGATATATTTTCAGTTGGTTACAAAATCTCAATCCTTAATCATTGCCAACCATGTGACTAATCTTGTCCTATCAGGTTTGTGAGTTTTTAGTAGCACCGTCATGTATTCTTTATGTTGTGGCTAATGACTAATTTATGCATGGGATAAGATTGTCACATGCTTGCTGTGTTAAAGCTTGACTATGAAAGAGCATTTTAAAATCCACCAGAATGATAATACAATGCATGCAAATACTGTAAAATTTAAACAATGCATTATTTAAAATTCAGTCTGAGGCTTGAAATGCTTTAAGGAATATATGTTTATAGATTTGTTACGTATAAAATAGCTTGCTTGCTGCTGTAAAAGTTAAATAACTGTTCTGTAAGTGGTATCTGACATAATTCATACTGTGATAGTATTTTATGTTCCGCTTCTAATAATGATAGCTTCTATAAATATTTCAGATACATGTTTCTTTTGTATTTAATGGAATACAGGTCACACTTTCTAACTGTATATAGTGTAACAGAAAAACCAGATTCTGGAGGTGAAACCTAATGGGATTATGCTAGTAAAAACTACATGGAAGAAATGTTTTTCTAAGTGTTCAAAATTGTGTTTCAGATCATCTTATCAGTGTGACTTATTCCATCAGATACTGTCATCTAGTTCTGACTTGAATGAAGAAAAGTAATAGAGTTAGCTAAGTTTTGCTCTCCAAATTATCAGGTGCACCTCTCTGAGAAACATAAGAGACAACGAGGAAAAGGATTCAGCGTTCCGTGGGATATGTACCATGATTACGGTCAACCCCAGTGGAGTAGTCCAAGTAAGATACACTAATAGATACTAACTTCTTTTCTTTACCCATTTAAAATTTAAGGAAAGCTGTATATGGAGTATGAAAAGGTTTACCTTGATGTGATTCCCTGCAGTGCATGATGTAGCTTTATTTTGAGGTCAAGGAGGCCAAAATGTTTATATTGTGAATGATACGTATCATGATGCTTCAGTAATTATCATCTGAAAAGGAAAGGATGAGAGTATTGTTAAAGTCAGTTTTTGTCTTTTCCTTGCAGCGACTATATAAATAATGAACTTTGATTAAAATAACTGTATTTTGATACTTCTGGCAGGTTGTGGTCAGGATCTGGATGCAAATATAAGGTGAAAGTTGACACTATGAAACCTATTTTCCAGAGGCAAGCTAGGCTTTTAAAACAAGAAACAGAAAAAAACAGTAACCATTCTTAAAACTTGGGTAGAGAAGATTCTGTTTCAACTTTGAATAGATTACTGTCATGGTTTGAGATAGTCCCAAAATCCAATTCTCTAGCTCCATCCCCCCTCCCACATCTCAGCCTAATGTGAGAGAGGTTTTTCCAGACAAAACACACCAGACTCCAAAGTGGGGGAAAGGGAAATATATTACAATGACTGTACAAATAAATACCATATCACATTATACACATGATCATAACTATCTCTACCATGACATATAGTATTTACAATGGATCAGATCTCTTCTCCCCTCCAAATAAAAGTCCAGGAGGGAAAGAAGGACAGATCCCTTCCAGTCCTTAAACAGCAGCATCTTCTGAGGCAGCAGGTTTCTTCTTCTCATGCATGCAGCAGCTGATAGCTGGCTTTCTGCCAGCACTCCACGAGGGAGGTATCCAAGCCTCTCTCTCGGCCCCATCGCCTCACAACCGAGGGGTCTTCCGTGGGCTTCGTAACCCCAGACAAGGTCGTTTCACCACGTCATATCACGAAGACACAGGGGGGTCTTCGTGACGGTCTGGTATCTCTTGCAGGGCCTCTGTGCCCTGTCTCTCAGGCTGCCACCGTGGCAGCAGTGCAAGGGGGGGGGGAGCCAAGGTCAACTCCCCCTGCATTCCTCTCGGAGCTCTCTAGCTCCTTTCTACAGTGCATGTCGCACTTCAAGGCTCTTTCAAGTAAGAGTCCGTTCTGACTGGTCCAAGAGCCACGGCATGTGCAATTTCTTGCTTGATTTGCCTGAAAGCTTGTTGTTGTTCAGGACCCCATTGGAAATTGTTCTTTTTACGGGTCACAAAGTAAAGAGGGCTCACAATCTGACTGTACTCTGGGATGTGCATCCTCCAAAAGCCTATTGCTCCCAGAAAAGCTTGGGTCTCTTTCTTGTTTGTGGGCGGAGCCATTGCTACAATCTTGTTGATTACGTCTGTTGGTATCTGACGTCGTCCATCTTGCCATTTCACCCCTAGGAATTGGATGTCTCGGGCAGGTCCCTTGACCTTGCTCTTCTTGATGGCGAAACCAGCATCGAGGAGAATCTGAATGATCTTCTGTCCTTATTCCCCTCCTTCCAGGAGGTCTCAAAGGAGTTTTGGGGATCTGGTATCAGTCTTACCCCCAAGAACTCTGTAGTTCTCAGCTGCTGGCTCTCCTTTCCTCGACTCTCCTTCCAGGAGTCTCCTCTGCAGTGCTGCATGTTGCTTCTGCTGCTTCTTCAGTTCAGGTTCTTATCTCTGGCGCTCTGCCACTGTTTCTCTGGTCAGCGTCGGCTGCTGCTCTGTGCCCATGGAGAAAACATCTCCCGGCATAACTACAGGCACCTAGCCCAGCTTTATGCTGTTCCAGGTCCCTGCAGCCCCAGCCAGGGGCTGGGAAGGGGGCCAGAGGCCCCAAGGGGCTCAGAGCCCCTTCCTCGTGGTTCTACAACATGGCCACCTCTTCTACAACCAAAACTACAACTCTTCTTTTCCGGTCTGGTTGTGATATGTTTACATTTCTGCAGGAGCGCCCATTGGGCAGAACTTCAAAACTTCCAGGGGTTTCCACCCCTTGGGGTCTACCACTTCTCTTAGTCTCTGGGGAAAACAAGGTTCAAACCACTACAATTACTTAAATAGTCAATGTGGACAATGAACATGCATATGTTTAAATTAAATGGTACAACTGAAGAACACAGTATGACTTGATATTTTGTCTCTACACCTCTACAGTAAAGCTGTATCAATGTAATATTTTCTAAGAGGAAAATGGAACTGATTTTTCCCTCTCCTCTACCTGGAGTTGTTCTTCCTGAAACCACAAGAATTGAGCCTCTATCTTGTTTTGTAATTTTCAGTTCATTTCACTGGTGCCTTATTCTGTACTTAACATTTCACTCTTCTGCTGTCTGTTTGTTCATTCATGTAGCTTAAGGGGAGGGAATAATTCAGGACACATTTGATTAGCCCATCTCTCCTCTGTAGTCATTATCCTCAATTCCTACTGAAATCATGTGCATTGTTAACATAATTATTAAAGACTGGTGTTTTGTTGGTGTAGGAGGAGGTAATGCATGACAGCAGATGAACTAAGCATAGGGATTTTGAGGTGGCTTTAGTTTTGAACCTGTATCCCGGAATAAAACTTCTGGCTCTGCTTAAAGCAATATGACACCTTTTTTCCCCAACTGGAAATGTGCAAGTGTGCATTTGTTCCTTCTTACTAAGGTGATTGGTTCTTGCATTTGTATGTGTACTGAAAGAAATGTTAGGCTAGTGTGATGTAGGAGGGGAGAGTTGAGGTTTTTTAACTGTGGTCTTAAGACACTCAGCAGTTTCTATTTCTGAACATTTAGGCATACAAGAACACAGCATTGTCTGAATTAAGTGGAAAAATAAATAGATAAAAGCAAAAGCAGTTGTGAATTGAGATCAAAGACCCTGTACAGTTCACAGAATAAACATCAAATATTGTTTTCAGATGTATAAATTGAGGTTTCTAACCTATGTGATTGTTTAATCTTATAGGACTTTATATTTTTTTGTGATGCTGTTGCATCATGGATTAGTCCAAAAGATGATCTTCGAGACATGTTCTGTAAGGTAAGTCTTCTAATATAACAGTATATTCTAATGGTGGTTGTTCTGCATCCTCTGGTTTGTTTGTTTCTTTCTGTAGCATTTACTGTGCTGGTCATGGAGGTCTCTCTGCCCCCTGTGGTCATGCAATGTCATACATTTTCAAACAAAACAACATGAAAATCCTGACTGGTTTTTTTAACCTTTATTTTCTTATATTTTTTTAACCTATATTTTCTTATATGCATTTGGGTTATTCCTAACTTTTTTAAAATGAAGAAGTTCACTTGAGATGTTATTTGAAGGGATAATCATCCTCAAACAGCTTTTCATAATGTCCTGCGTTTGAAAGAACAGGGGGTTCTATACTACATTTAAGACTCCTTTTTCTAGAAAATGAGATCTTTATGGTTCAAGACTACTTTTTGTCACAAAGATGCCTATTTTATTTTGAAGAAATATCTAGAAAATTTTGAATTAAAAATATCCTGGTGGTATTCTGTTTGATTCTCTTACTTTTGCTGAAAATAAGGGATTGCTTAATCCTCCTCAGAATCCCTCTTGGGTGAGCAAGTTTTAAGAAACAAACAAACATACAGTTATACCCAAGAATGCATCCCTATTGACAAAGTATCAACAGAGTTTAAGCAGAAGGACTGTTTTCCCTGTATTTAATAAGAAAAAGAAACAAAAAAAAATAACAAATGGACCAAAAGAACAAAAAAGAAACCCCCCCCAAACTACAAAACCACCAGCACAACCAGAATGTGATATATTGTATTTTTGCACTGATGTCTTACATTAAAAAAGAGAGAGAGAAAAAAAGTGGTTCCCTTCACAAGTTCTAAAGTGAAATCTCGATTTTTAGGAAGTGCTATCTCAAAAGAAAAGTTCATGATACCCTTGTAGAAAAAATGGAGCATATTCCTAAAAGCTTACTAGGATCATGGGTCAGTATTGGCACGTCTTCTTCGATTAATGCCATGTGTGAGCATGAAAACAGAAGCTAGAACTTTTCTATCCCATCTTTAAGAGAAAAGACAGAAATCTGACTGTCTTAGTTAGCCTCTCAGATAACTGGTCTCCTTCCAAGGAATGTTAAATCTAGAAAATGCATCAGCAGAAGGAATGCTGTGAAAAATGCAGGTGAAAAGGAAGTCCAGGATACAGCCTATGATGATTGCCCAAAGCAGTCTCAGGGTGTGTTTCTGTACCAGTCCTTCAGCATCGAATACTTGCTTCAGTAAGTTTAGGCTCCTCTTTTTTAGATTCTTTCCAAGTTGTCCATGTAGCACCCACGGCATTCAAACTAGACACAAAGGTTCTTGATCACTTGGCATCACCTTGCTTTTTAAAGCAAGCAATTTTAATGTATTTTTGTGCTTTTTGCCTTGCAGGAAAGGAGACAAAGCTTTCTTCAGTCATGGCATGCAGGGGTTTTAGTTTACTTCTTCATGAATACATGAGCCCTGTAGTCCAGTTAGATGTTTTTCCAGCAATAATTATGAGTTTCAGGAACAGTGGAAAGAAACTGGATTGTCCAGTGTTTCTTTTTTTGTTTTATTCTTTACCACTAGAACTGGGAGAAAAATACCACTTTCAAGAGCATGGATAAATGAGCTGCCAGTGTCGAAATCTGACACATAACCTTTTGTCATACCTGAGCATTCTTAGATTTTCAGTAGTTGCTTGGCAGCTGGCGAATGTGACTGTTTGGGTTAGGAAGGAGAGGCGAACCTGCTTGTGGAAGGGAGAAAAGCAGTAAGTTAACTGGTGGCACTATAATGTCATTAGCACATAACTTTGATATTGCCATTTCTATGAGAATGTGTTCAGGACAGACTGTTCCACAACTCAGTTTCACTGCATGTAAAAAAGAAAACCAAAACTTTAGGTTCTCTTTGCATAATTTTCTATGAGGAAAAGTAATTTCATCTGCTTTTGTCCTTTCTAATATTCACTTGTTACTTGTTGTTTTAAGAGCTAACATACTAAGACCTTTCTGATAGTAGAATTTAATTTATTGGTTTTCAGATAATTTATTACATCAGAAGATCCAGACTGAAACCTGTAGGTTATTGTTTTTCCTCTTTCACTGGCTTTTGATTACCATTGAATGTGGATTCCTGTACTTGCAAAATAAAAAAGATTTCAAGAGCTTCCTTTTTAGTGACAGTTGTCTTACAGGTTCCATGCAACAAAGAGCTCTCACAGGTTTTATTTTTGTGCTAAAAATGGACAGATATTCATTTTGTCAAATGTTGGCTGCGGTTTTGGCTCAGCTTTCTTTCCATAACATCCTACACATTTAAAAAAGAAATGTGAACACGGTAGTCTTAACATGTATGACCTATGTCAATTGAGTGACTGATTGACTGCCTGACTGACTGAATGAATGGATGAATGAATGATGAATTGAAAAAATTATAAATAGACATTCTGAAATGGCCTAACTCTAGGTTACCCATTAAAATACATATAAATATGTATACACACACATATTGTGGGGGTAGCTATATTCTATATGTCACCTTTAAAAGAAAAAACACGTTAAGAAAGAGAATACTTCCTTTGTTTCTTAATAGCATTTCAGTATGAAATGAGGGAATTCAGATTGCCAGATGTACAACTCAGCAATTTATGGCTTACTGCATATGAGGCTAGTAAATAATATATCCTCTATTTAGTGCTTATCTTGACTTCTCCCTTCTCATTTGTAGATTCTTCATGGATTTAAAAATCAAGTTGGGGATGAGAATTGGAGGCGTTTCTCTGACCAGTTTCCTCTTCCCTTAAAAGAGCGCCTTGCAGCTTACTATGGAGTTTAACCTCATGCACTGTAGCTGCAGTCCCATAATTAGAGGTAAGCACAGAAATCTTGCTTGGTAAACAGATCTGTATAACATACTTTCTCCCTGTGTGCATTATATGAAATATAATTAATTCATCCATCTAGAATTGTTCAGACACATGGGAGGAGATATCTTTCCTTCCTATGGAGAGGGAAAAAAAGAATGTATGATAGCATACCTAAATGATGGAGGCTGTAGCAAAAGCAGCTGACTTTTTTTATTATTACAGAGAGAGAAAGAAAGAAAAAGTGAGTGTATCATACACACATTATTTTATCGAGATTAAGTTGGAAGCGTAGGTATAACAAAGTGCTGGTTTAAGTTTAATAAGCAGAGTGATGAATATGATCGTGAAGCTAAAGACACAGGCTCCCTTACATGTTATGAATTAAGAGGTGGCAGATGTAGTCGAAGCAGGAATATTCCTCTAGGATAGAAAGCAAATTCGTTAATGTACTGGAGCTATGTGAAGTCCAGTATACTCTGAACTACATCCTCAATGCTTTTTGCACTGAATAAAGGATGTTATGCTAATGTGTAATTACTGTAACTGTAAAGCATGATGTTTTGGGGAGGCTAATGTGTTTATTATTGCCATGTTCCGGTTTTGTGCACCAATTCAGAATTGTTAGGCAGTTCTCTGTAAAGAATGATTCAATTTCAACAATGAGCAGTGAAAGTGCGTTTTAGAATAGCTGTATTATTGTTCCACCGTGCTTTGTATGCTGTCTGTGCATGATGTATTAAGCAAATTTCCCATGAGTAGTGAGATACTGTGAAGAGATTATTATATTACCCAAAAAAAGAGGGTGAATTAAGTTGATTCACTTAGTCTTTATACAGAATTGATACTTCTAGTAGAATTTTTGCACTGAAATTACGGGGGTAAGTCATGCAGTCGTTTTATTTTTGGAATGGATAACTATTTAAAAGTTAGCCTAAGCTTTTTCAGTCACTGACATAAGAAATCCTGTTTGAATTACATGTTTGATCCAAACAATGGATTAAAAATAAAACATTTCAAACATTTATATATTTATTATCAGTGAGGGTGTTTTAGTTCTAACATAAGGGTGTCTTCTCCTCCTATTGAAGAGGAAGCCAAAGTGATAAAATCCACCATTATTCTCAGTTTGAACAGAGACACTATCTTGTTTAATCCACCTAAAAGGGAAGCTGTTAGGTCAGTAGCAGATACGTGTAATATACTTTCTCAATGTCATAACTACCTCATAATTTTGTGCTAAAAAATGGAAAAGCTGGTTAAAATATATAGGACTGCTTTTATCGTAAATCTAAGTTTAGCACAGTAGTGGAACTGTCAATGTAGCTTAAAAGCATACATTGTTGTTTCATGAATAATAATTTATCTTACATAAACGGGCTGCTTTCTTAACAGGCTTAAAAAGGAAAATCTAGGCATAAATTAATTTTTAAGTTAACAGTTGGCACTTACTGCTTGAAAAAGGCCCTTTGTTTATCCACCTGTCAAAGGGTCAAGGTAAGATTTAATTATACCTTTATCTTTTCCTTTTACAGGTCCTTCAGTCTGGGAGACTATGAGGGAGCCTCTGCACCCAGGGAAAATGTTACCCTTTACTGGGGGGAAGGGTAAACCAGTAGGGAATACAGTACAATCCCAACCCTACTGGGAGGGGCGGGAGGGAGGTGTTGCCGTCACTGTATTAAGTCGATGTTGGGAAATGTTTTAACATCTGGAGCCTTTGTGGGTGGAAATCTGTCTCCTATTACACCTCTGCACTGGATGTGAAGAAGAAAAAAAAAAGAATCTAGTCACAAAACAGCACATTCTGGAATATTGTGGGGATTTGTACCAAAATAAGTAACCATATAATTGAACCATAGGGATACGTAAAGAGGAAAAATATTTTGCGCACAATAAAGGAAACCTAAGAATGGGGGTCACAAACAGTAAAAGGCTTTCTTTTTTGTTTTCTGTTTTTTTAAGTAAGGGTTTTCTACATTATTTCATCCTGCTTGAGGGGATTACTAGGTATTTGCATGTTAATGAACTACGCAAACGAAGTTAGTACAGTTAAAATGCAGCTTGTGTCTGTATTAGGAACAGGCACTTGCAGTGTACAGCATAAAAACCCCATCGTAAAATAATAAAGGTTAACTTGGACAAAATGAAGCAACTGCAAGCTGCCAAATAAGTCACTCCTTTCATGTTTTGGGGTAAGGGGAAGGACACTGCAAAGGAAAGATTGACATCTTAATTTTTACATTAAGGAAAACAACCAAGGTAGTGGATATGATTTAATTATTGTACGTTTTTAGCTTTAATTTCTAGAGTAAGGCATTATTCTTAACTTGCAGTTTAAGGTTCAGGCATGCGTTCTGGCTCATAGTGATCAGAAGTAATTTTAATTAGTGGGAAAGTAGCATGCTTGCATCACATAGAGTGAAATTGGTATACATTTACCTATGTTGCGCCAGTTTTGTGTTGCAGTTTACCAATTCAATATAGCCCTGCATTTAAAATTCCTTTTTAAAATTCTGTGGAATTTATTTTTATTAAGAATATAGATATAAAGTACTGTAGTTAACGTTAAATTAGGCCTTGAAATACCTTTTTAGGATCTGTTAAGAATAAGATTGATATTGTATTGTGTGTAACCTGCACAATGTGGAAAGCTGATATAGCTGTGCAAAATATTTGCCTCTGTGCTGTCAGTGTGATGTGCTTTCTGCATGGTTATATCCTAGTGATTTTATCAGAATCTCTAAAATGAATTACATGGTAAGACCCGTTAAAGGCTGCATAAATGTTAGTTGGCACGTAAAGACAATTGTAGAAGTTGATGACAAGATTGCTACATTTGTGTTTATTCCCACTCAACGTATTACCTTCTACACTTTCTTTTTGTTCAAAGCATGATCTTAAAGAGATGTTTAAGTTGATGTAATGCAGGGTATCTACACGGTATCGGCGCATGTTGGTGGCCCTTTGTGATATAGTTAAATGCACAAGGGTGCAAGTTTAAAGCTAGAGAGTGGAAGTTGGTTTGGATCCTCTTCATTTCATTTGTTTAGCTTTTCTGTTGTGTTTTTTTTTCTCTACTTACATGTATTCCTGTGAATAAATCCTTGTTAAGTTAACCCTTTACTTTTCCTTCCATGTGTATTTTCTTATGTACTGTGAATGTGAAATCCTAACTGGTACACTTGATCTTGTGTCCATCTGAAAGTGGCAAGTCTTTAATAATTTAGATTGCCTAAAGAGTATCCCATGATGATAAAGGAAAATGGAGAGATTTTTAACTCTGCTGGTCAGAGGTGAAGCCACACCTTTCCATTTTTCAAGTGCTGCATTATTAATCTGCAAAATAAAATTAAGCCATAACAGCCTTTTTGTAGATTTAGTTTCTCACCTTTGCATTGCAGAATTGATACTGGATAACAATCTTTGGTTTTGGGGTTTGCTTGTTTGTTTGGTTTTTGGTTCCCCCCCCTTTTCTTTCCTTTTCCTTTTTTTTTTTTTTTTTTTTTTTTTTTTTTTTTTTTTTTTTTTTTTTTTTTTTTTTTTTTGTTTTTGTTGGTTTTGGGGGGTTTTTGTTTGTTTGTTTTGGGTTTTGGGGGGGTTGTTGGGGTTTTTTTGTTTTGGTGGGGTTTTTGTTGGTTTTTTTGTTGTTGTTGTTTGTTTTTTGGTTGGTTGGTTGGTTGGTTTTTTTTTAAGAACTTGCTCTTCTTTGCATGGTTCTGTTCTTTGACTGTTGAATGATTTAGCCATTGCACTGAAGTTTGAGCTGTATGAGTGTGAACTTAAAAATGCTGTTTAAACAACTTAAATTGTTTTTTTAATGCATGATCACATGCATGTTTTATGTCCCCCTCCCACACTTTTTTTTTTGGCTTTGCAAATTTTAATGGATTATGCCTGAAGAATAGTTTGGACATGTACTATATGAAATACATTCAATAACACCAGTACATAGTATTTATTCAATTTGGTCAAAACTGCATGTGATAACTTGCTTTCAAATTACATTACTTTGGTAGCAAACACAAAATTCCTTCTCAGCTAATAACTCTGAAATAAATTAGTTAATAGCCACTGAAAAACACTTCAAAACCAAATTTTGAAAGGGAAAAAAACCCCCAGCCTTTAGCAAGGTGGGATATTATTTTAGACCCAAATTTGCTTTAATGTTGAGTGTGTTTGAAATTTAAGGAAGAGTTTCAGAGAAATGACATTAAAAAGTTTGTAGAATAGAAAACCTACCCAAATAATATGGTAGCATAACAGTTAGAATCTGGGTTTAACTAAACTTCTTAAATTTCAGAAAGCCCCTTTAACCAAATAAAACCACTCCACCTCAGCTTGGATTAGCTTAGGATGCCACTTTTGTGCATATGTGTTTTAATAGGTATGTGTACAGATGTGAACTGATCTGGTATGACAGCAAGGAAAATAATTAATTAGGGCAGAAATAAACAGTACTGACAAAATAGTCTTTTGTATCAGTAAGTTCTTGTGGTATATTATAAAGCAAATAAACCATATTCCTAATGCATAATAAAGTGCAAAGATTTGCAGAAGCCATTTAGGGTGTAATGTGAGGTAAGAAAAGTTCTGAAACAGCATTAATATTTAAAATTGAATTATTGCATCATGGGATATATAAAAAGCATCTTAAGTCTTGTGATGTAGTCTTGACAGTTCTTGAATGTTGACTGAATGTTTATACTGGTAGAATTGTGAGTTTGTCTTTGTTACATTCCAGTGTTTCTGCCTCTTGGCATGCTAAAAGCACGGCTTACTTCATTTGCTCCTTACACACTGAAAAAAGTGCTGTTAGTGTGCTAAACTACAGAAATAGCCGCTGCTAAGTAATGGTGTAGATTTTCTACTTGAATATTTTTGTTGTAGGAACCTCAGGAGGTCAGTGTTTACTGTTTTTATATATGCCTTTTTCCTGTTTTGAGTTTCCCTTTTTGAAGGATTCTGAGAGTGAAAAAAAGCTGCTGATCAACCTAAGTTGGTAACAGAAAGTGTATTTAAAATCCTTATAAATGCATCTTTTTGGCAGTTCTAAATTGCTGTTAAATTAGTCTTAAATGAAATTCAATGTTAAGTTTTTTTCATAACACATTCAGGAAACCGCTCATTTCATTTAGGGAAAAAATTAGACTAGTTCATTATTTTAACCAGTGCAAGCAAAAATAATCAATTTTGTATTTTTTTTTCCCAAAGCTTGATTATTTTCTAAATCAGTGAATATGTATATATTTAAATTTTAAGAAGCTAATTCTTACTCTTTGGTTTATTGCTCCTTGAAGCTTGTACTCAAAAGGTCACTTTTAGAAGAATGGGTTAAAATTTGTAATCATTATAATTTTTAAAAGTTATGAAGTAGCATAAATTTTGTAATTAACAATATTGATGCACACTGTGATTTTTTCCTTAGAACTTTTATGTTAGCATCAATTTTAATTACTTAAACTGCATATATTGTATAATAGTAAAATGTATATTTTAAAAATTCAAGTTGCTTTCCTCAAGCAAAACTCATTGCTACTTAGAAATATTCAAATACTAACTTTATCTCAGGTGAATACTCTTGTACCCTTTTTGTTCAGAACACATGCTAATAAAAATGTGTCATAATTTTATCAGTTTACGTATTTCATTTAGGCAGCTCCTCTTGTCTTAAACTTACTCTAAATTAACCTTCTACTGTGGGACAATAATTACTTTTGCTTCACCTATATTATTCATATTGAATGTATTAACAGACAAGGTGCAAAAGCATTCTTCCCTTGAGGAGAATGCATCCATATTCAAACAACTGAAATATTTCTTAAAAAAATGCTTTAAATGCAACATTAAATTGGAAAACTTTTGTTTCAGATTTTGTCAAGGAAAGAAATAACACTAACTGCTTCCATACTATCTCTTTCCTGAGGATGATAGATGCATAAAGCTTTTATATAGGGTCTAAAGAGTGACTTTTTATCTTAGATAAAGATTAAGCTCTACAATGAAATGGCAAAACATCCTGCACCTCTCTCAGATAGATGCTGATGTAGTTTGCACACATATTTGCTATATATTACATAACCTCACCTTGAATAAATAAGGCTTGATCAGTAGCTGTGTATTTCACTCACCTATGCATTCTCCAGGATGACTTGCATCCATCAGTCTTCTAGGTATTCTTCTCCAATAGAAACTGGGTTTTGTCTGCCACTGATGCTTGCTCTTTGCACTTAATGGTTAGAGCAAGCCAGTTTTAGTTTATTATTTTAAATGGGGAATTGAGGCAAGTACTCTGCTTGCCTTGTATATTCTGCTAAAATAGTGATACTCACTCACTTGAATGTACTTACATGAGGGAAGTTTGAAATGGCTCTATAAGATAAATCCCTGTGTGGTGTTACAGTATGCTTTAAGTAAGCCAAATCCACATCTCAAAGAATTCAACACTTACAGTATAGTATATTTTTTTTCTATAAACTGGTTCTATTGTACTACTTTTGGTTTAGGTATCTATTTCCTTACTTTGCATGAGCAACTAAATAAGAAGGCTTGGGTGTTTTTTGTGAGGACAGCAATGAGAAAAAAAGAGTTTGGTATAAGGAGGTTTATTTGGCTATTGAAATCTGCAGTGTATTATTTTTCATGGAAAGAGAGGTAATTATGTTGTATATTGTCTGACTTAATAATACTAGACACTTCTAAAATTTTGAATTGGATGAAGTACACAATATAGTTTTAAATGAAAGATGACTGGATCTTTCTGCTGACAACTTAGGTTGTATAAGTTTTGCTTGAAAGCTTTAAATCTGATGTTTCTGTATCTGCCACAATGTTGGAATGTTTCCTTCAAACATATCCTCCTGCAACCTCTCAAACTGTACTAAATTGAGTGATATTTCTTGAAGTCTGCCTATGTGCTAACAGAACTTCATTTTAAATAGAATATGGTTTTAATTTTTGATAAGCTGCTGAATTTTAAAGAGTTTTTGGGGCCACCAAATATTTTGGATCATGCAGAGAATATATATTGTACTGTAGTAATTTTGTATTTACATTTGTATGATGTGACATAATAGATGTGAATGTTAATCACTGCTTGACTATGTTAATAAAGTTGTTTAAATATAGATGTTGCATTCCAATTTTTAATGAATGATTAAATTCATTGTTCAACTATGTTTTGCCTGGCCTGGTAGTGCACTCTTCTGATCCACACATGTAAGTACTAGAGTTTACTGAATAAGGATTTTCATTTTATATGAAAGAAAATAATCTTTGGATAAGTTAAGATTAGTTTAGTTTAGATGCTTCATGCTGCTTGAGGGCAGATGACTGTGGAAAAAAGGAGGTGTAGGTGACTTGAAATTAGAGCCTCTTGGATGATACCTGCTAACTACTTTACTATTGAGAAATGTTACATTGACTGCTTTTTTTGAAACAGTTGCTACGTGCTAAGTTTCCAAACGGAAAAGGGAAAAAAATTTGTTTTCATTCCTTGTTCTAGCAGTAATGTAAATCATAAAAAAATGAGTAAACTAGAAATAAATTCAAGCTGTTCAAGACTTTGAACCAAAATTTACGCTGGTCTTAGTCTAATTTTATCTAGCTTTCATGGGACCATGATAATACAAACTTTTTAAAGAGCTGCCCTTCCAGAACTTCCTGATACAAGAGTCTCTAAAATGAAAATATAAAAGCAAAAGTTTCATTCAGTCCACCCATGTTGATTTGAACATTTTTGTTCAAATATTTAAAAGTTGGTCAATAGCATTTAGACAACCTAAACTATTACACATGTCTAGCACAAATTGTTTCTATAGTGCAATGATTAAGTTCAATTAAATGCATTGATAAAACTACTTACTATAATAAAATTTAAAGTAGAAACTAATTGCTGCATACTTGGCTTAAACTCTGCTTAACAAATGACTTAGACTTCTGCCTCCAGAAACAGGAGAAGGCCATGGAACAGCAGTATAGAGACCAAGTTGATCAGCAGAGATGGTGGCTGTGTGGGAGGGGATGGGGGAAGTTCTGTTTTCTTTCAAGTAGCCATCCCCACTTCCCTTATGTTCTGGGGTACCTGTGACAGAATATCACTGTCAGTCAGCAGTTTAGTTCAAGTC